GAACTCGAAGCGATCTCGAGGTATCTCGAAGTAATTCCGGTCTCACTTCGTAAACAACGGCTCCGTACGCCTTTTCCGACGCATCTGCAAGACAATGAAGTTGGAGCGATTTAACTTCATTCCCTTCAGCATAACACCTTTTAAAAAACACTCTTCCAGCTAGTCTTGGGTCTGACAAAGTTGGCAACCACTCTTGGTTCAGTTCGGTATCCACTAACTCTTCCCAGTCCCTTTGTGCGTTGCACAGTTTTTGAAACATAATCTTGAAGGGTAAAATAACTCGAGATATTAACCCCAAGGGATCAAAGAATCTCGTAGCAGTACTGAGAAACAGCATTCTTGTAGCTGGCTGAACTTCCCCACCCTCCAATATCTTAGTCAAGTCATAGCTCAGTTCATCTTGGTTAGGGTTCCAAAGCATTCCCAAGACCTTCTGTTCTGTCTCAGTATCTTGCTTAAGAACTGACTTTGAGAAGCTCTCATCTTCCTCTTGAACACATTCTTTACTGTTTGTAGCAAAGCCTCCAAAGAAGGCGGCATCTTGTTTCAGGGATTGCAAAAGACTTGCTGAGTGGCCGTTCCACTTCCTTATATTGAACCCTCCTGATATGAGACAAAGTTTTATCTCCTTCGACAAAGAAAAGGCACTGTTCATATCCTTGGCTCCACAAGCAAAGTCACCTACATACAAAGACTTCAAAAGCACAAGTGGCAAAAGCATTGTCATTCAGCATACAGTGTACATGTATTAACATGGTGTCTGACAGTAGCACTGAGAATGAAGGGGCTAGCATTCACTCCAAATACAACTCTTGTGAAGCGAAGTAACTTAATCTCAGGTGATTCCTTATTGACATCATCTAACCATAGAAATCGTAAAAGGTCTCTGTGTTCTGGATCAATCTCAATATTCAAAAGTGATTTCTCAGCATTAGCAGTTACAGCAACTTCAAGAACTCTAAATCTTAACCTGAGATCAGGCCCAATTTGAGCGGTTCTCATATATTCTCTCTAACGGCTACCATTTCGCCATGCCCGCTGGAATGTTATTTACAAAGCGAAACGAAAACAGAGCCTGATCTCAGGTTATCTAAATCTCAGCAAAATGCCCAGTAGAAGAGGACTTAATGAGGGTCCGACATGCAAACAGTCATTTAAGCTTGGTCCAAACACCTTGGATGAGGCCAGTAGTGATCTGCTCCTGTTAGTAAGTTAACACTAACTGTTCTGTTAACAGCTCCACATGCAAGTTGTAGCCCTTGAAGGTATGGATAGCATCCTATTGAACTTTGAATTTCTTGGTTCGATACTAGACTGCAGGTACAACGTAAGCAGTGACGTACACACTCATTGCATCTATTGTTCTGGGCCCAGTTGTTCGAACGCTGGTTAGTGCTAACCTTGGGTTAAATTTTCACCTGGGTTTCTTCTTCTTGTTATCAAAAGCAGTTTCTAGGATATTTTCTCTATTCTTTTTAGAATATCCAATCATCAAATTGTAGGCAAAGAGAATTAAATTGAATTTGCTTTTTAAGCTCCCATATTTGAGATCAAATTTCACCCTGAGTTATCTTAACCCAGCTTCGAACAACCTGGCCCTGATGCACAATTGCACAATGTCACATTCCTTTACAGGTGCTGAGCTGTCACCAAATGTTTTGATTAGCAAGGTTTCCTTCGCAATAGTAGGTAAGTTTAACTGCTCACATGTCTTGCTGGTTATATAAGATCTTGGCCTACAAGAGTCAAAAATGACTTGAGTATACATTCCAGTTTCCTGATTATCTGGTCTAAAAACAAGGGCTTGGGCTGTCTGCAACAGTATAGAGTTATTATTGCTGCCAACATGCATTGCTGATGTTCCAACATCTCTGGATCTCTCCTGGGAAGTTCACTAGGTGATGCTAATTCAGCTCTTGAACTTCTAGGTTGGACAGGCTTCTTAGGGTTTTCACAGATGGTTTTAGCTCCAGATGGCTTTGTCTGACAACCTGATGTCTATGCCCTCTTTCACAAACAAAAACAATTGGCTTCTTTGACTTCCTCAACCTGAGAGTTTGTAATTATTCTATTTATTTTCAAGCAAACAAAACAATTTTTGGCAAACAAAACACTTCATCTCAGTATAGTTCTTCTAGTTGGTTCATTGATGGTACTATAGGTGATGGACTTGTGATTTTTCTTGCAAAATATACATTGCAGAGTGCACTCTTCACTGCCTGCATAAAGTGCCGATGAGGAAAGGGGCTGCTTGAATCTTGAATCCGGTCAAATCTAGTGAGGGTTAGAATTGGTTGGACTACTTGTTTTCACTGCATTGCACCTTTCTCTTGCCTCCAACTCAGATTTCAGTGCACTTAACAGGACATCAAGGTCCCAAGTTTCTTTACCGCCAAATTTGCGACTGATGATTAATCTCAACTCAGAAGGAATTTCTCCTTCACAACTGGAACTAATAAATTTCCAAAGGACTCTGATTCGATGCCTAGTGCCTTCAAACTTCGAATGTTTATCTCAATCTTGTCATACAAATCACCTGGGAGTGGGGGGACTCCGCATATGAAAGGGGTGGGGATGCTCGTCGGAAATTTTGAATTAAACCCCTAAAGGAGACCAATCTGGGCGTGGCCCAACCTTTTTTTGACCCCTAAGCTTTGATTACATGGATTGAGTAAATAAAACGAATTGAAAATATATAATTTTTTAATATTTCTTCAAGTGTAACTCTAAAAGAGACCTTTACAGCTAAATATAATGGTGTTTTGCCCAGAACACCCCTAAGCGAGACCAAAATCTGAAATTTACACCCCTAAGCGAGACGACGAGCATCCCCACCCCTTTCATATATGTAGTCCCCCCTCCCCGGGACAAATCACGCAGTTCCTTCGTTTCTGCACTGAACTGACTATTGGCAATTTCAACAAAGCTTCCATATGGTTAGAAATCAACAACTGTGGTTTACCAAATCTGTCTCTAAGAATATCAATGGCAGTTTCGTAATTATCTTCAGTGAGAGAGACAACCCAGTAGTTGCAGATTCAGCTGCGCCTGCAACACAACTCTTCAAATAGGGGAATTCTTGGATTCTTGAAATCTCAGTGTTTCTGTTAACCACAGATTCAAAATTGTCCCAGAAACTCTGCCATTCCTCGTAGTTGCCTGAAAATGACTTAAGTTCTAGTTTAGATAGCTTCACGTTCTCGACCTCATTTCTTTTGACATTGTGAATATTACCTTGAATGAAGCTTTGGTGAAGTTCCCACATGTACACTATTTTTAGCGTCCTCTAAACTCAAGTCAATTCCAGCCAAAACACGGTAAACTTTTGCACAGAACTCACCAGAATCCTCGACTTCTTTCTCAATGTCTCCTCCCCTTAGTGTTTTCCAGAATTGTTTCGACCAGCTTTTGGATAGTTCCTAGCCTTTCATTCAGGGTGAATTTCAATCCCTTGATGAATCGTCCACGTGATCGGCATCTGCTAAGGGGGTAATTACATGGGAGTCACGCAACGCCTCTCCCCATGCGTGACGACACTAAAAACGGCTGTGTAGCAGACTAGAGTTCGTATCGCTCTCCGTACATATCTTTTCATGCGTTTACATGGGACCGACCTCCCTAAAAATGAACTTAGACCGGTCCGGTCGTGTTGGTCGCTGACCCGACACGAGTTATTTTCGTACCGGTCTGAGACGGTATCGTTCTCATGTAAAACGGAAACAAACCTCAGACCGGGTCCATAAATAGCACGTTTCTTGGTATGGCTCCATCATGCATCATTTTTGCTTTTTCTTAGCAAAATAAGGGCACTGCTATGAATAACTGTAAACAATGCTTCGGTTAATGTGAGGGATTGCACCAGATGAGCGTTAGATAAAGTTTACAATTTTCTGGAAGCAGTAAAATCTACGATTCTCTACTCACTGTCTTAATTGGCGTAAATTGTGTACCAGTTAGGAAAACTTAAGAGAGTTATATCGCTACAAGAATCTCCTGCTTTTGAATTTGTACCGGTCTTCATGTAATCAACGAAGCGTTTCGTCCCGGTCTCACGTAAAGGACAGCAAAAATTACAAATTCGTAACGGCCTGAGTTCGTCTCGGTCTCACGTAATACCCCCTTTTTAAGATCCTCGTTGCACCTTCCATCGTTTTCTCCACAAAAGCTCTGTGGGCATTTCTAATTCTCTTTGCTTTTTCGTTGTGCATTGTTTTCTTCTCTAGACTGTTCACAGTCCTCTATTTTTCCGTAAGATCATCGAGATCGAGCGCTTTGCGTTACGGGCTACCGTCTTGCATGAGTGTCAAAACTACTTAGGGGGCGGGGGCGGTCCACCCCCTCCCCAGAGCTATAATCCCGGAAGCCGGCCCCCTCGGTACATTTGAAAATTAAGATACCGGTGACTGTAAGACGCAGTATATCTAAACGATCTCACCACGAGAAAAACAGGGGACTGTGAACAGTCTATTTCTTGGTCACGTGGTCGGGAAACAATTTAAGCCGAGTAGCTCTGGGGACGAGAATGCCACAATGACGCAGTAACTGTTCCTGACATGTAAATAAAAAATCGTGCTGCCCGACATTCGGTGTGGTCAGTTAAGTCGTGTGTGTTGGCATTGCGTAAAGAAAATTCCCAAGCAAACAGTTAGTAATGTTCCTAAATGTATAATTCACTATGTCCAGCGCAACTAGCCGCGACATTGATCGGAATCAACTGTTTATAAAGAGAGGCATTACTTACTTCGCCTTGCTGACATAAAACTTGATTGACGTTTTTACTCATGACAGAAAATATTAGTGAGGAACAAGAACGCGTACGTTCGAGATGGTCAACTCTTTCGAGAGGAAAACGCCTGGCGTTAGTGTTGTCACTAGTTTTAAGTACTGTAGCGATTTCACTTTTGATTGCTTTATCCAGAAAGTCTTGCAATACCGATGAGAAAGAAGATTGCGAAAAGACATCACAAGGAGTCATTGTACATGTAAGACGTTTTTCTGCAGTTTTCTTTAGCGTGATTTTCCTTCTCAGTGGGTGTGTAATAATAGCTTCATGCCACAAAAAGACGAGAGAACGAAACTCAAGAGAAATTGTCGTCTCTTATGTACCTGATGAAGACTTGGAAAAATCACCTGCTCCCATACTTCCTTATTTTCCGCCGTTTGGCGATGCTTCATCGTCACAATTGCCTGATTACTTCACTGCAGTTCAAAACATACCTGAAGTTTCATGGCAACCGAATGAGGAATTGTGGACGGAAGATATTGATGGCTCTGATGATGAAAATGAAAAGCCTCCATGTTATGAACAAGCTCTTACTATGTAAGGATTGTCTGTGAGTGAGGCTGACTTAGAAAATCAGGCAGCATAAGCAAAAAAATTGTGAACATCCAAGACTACAACTGAATAATTATCATAACCTAAGGATTTCAAGCCTCCTCCTATTGCGCTAATAAGGTGACCTAAGGTGGTAGCGGAGCCTAACGAGACCATCTCAGAATCGCGCGATTTTCTACCAGCTTGAAGCTAGCCAGTACTTAACAGTGTATGCGAGGTTTCAGTTCAGGGCGATTTCATTGAAGATTTCATTGAGCAACTAAAGTTTCGTTTCTAAGACCGATTTCGCGGGAAAAACTTGGTAAACTGAGAGCGAAAAGTACAGTTGTGGCTAACAAAATTGAATAAAGGGGCCGGCAAATTTGACAGGTTGAAATCGGGTTGTGTTTGCGAAACAGTAACGCGTCACAAACTCTTCTGTCATAAGAGCAATTTACTTGGTATTTGGGCTAATTTGAAAGTAACAGCCTATTTATGAACTTTTTAATAACAATCAGATAATAATAATTTTATTAGTAGTACTTCCACGAGGTGGCTCTTCGCCTACTAATGCCCTAACTACACAGGGGCACCCAACGTCAATTTTCGGAAAATATCTGTTCGTAAGACGATTTGAGATCTAGAATTTTCGGAACATTTTTTGTAAAATTTCTTGCTTGCCTACCTCTCCTAAGATTTTCGAACGTCTAAAAATTGGTGTAATTGCCCATTTTTAACGGATTTTTACCCATAAAAGCTCACCTAGAATTTTCGGGAGCCTTTTTTCTGGCTGAAATTTTCGAAAAGGTAAGTTTTGATCCCTATGATTTTCGGATCTCGAGACTTTCAGCTAGGAAATCCGAACAGATGAAAAATTTTTAGGGGATAAAAATATGCCTACATCTACCATTTAAATACAAAAATACGTTTAACAATGCTATGTTTAAGTGGTTTTGAACTATATTCTCGTTGGGTGCCCCTGACTACAGTATATTATTACAAAAAATCGAGCCGATTTTAAATTAAAAATGATATATACAATGAATTAAGGATAAGTACAAAGGGTTTGATAAAAATATGTACAATTGAAAAACACCATGGTTAAAAACAATAATAAAAATCAGTCATACGCTTTCTCCTTCGGAGAACATGAACTCCTTCGCTAACCTAACGAGGCTCTTGCCTTAACCAATCAGGTAACGTACTAAAAAATCTCGCTGTTGAGTCCTGAAAAGTGCCGCTTTCAGTTGAAATAGCCAACTTTTGTGCTTCAAAGTTATAGGCACTCACAGTATTGAATTTAAGGCGTAAGTAATCAGGCCAAACATCATCGTAGAGGGATTTATGAGTGATTTTCAGTAGTGCTAGGTCTCTCCTTTTTATAACTGGAAGCCAGTTTAATCTCTGCAAGTCCTTTAAAACGGCATACCGCCCAAGTAGGTAGCCCGCGCATGTTGTTTGAACTCTTTGCGGCCATTTCATTTGGTATTCTGGAAGGGGAGAGAAGACGACGCACCCGTAGTCCAGTTTTGACATCACTAGACTGCAAAACAGTCCGTATTTTTGCGTATTCAAGTACACGCGAGCAGTCACACAAAAGGTGTGGAACGAGGCGGAAAACGGAGAGCGAGACTGGGGAGAGACGCTAAAAATATGTTTTTTCTCTCTCGCCTCACACGCCCTACGGGCAATAGCCTGCGTGGCAGGCGTTCGAAAGGGAAGGGAAAGGGAATTAGGGCGCGAGACCACGCGCGAGGGAGGAGGTTTCCCTCCCTTCTTCCTCGCGCGCCCCTCGCGTTTCTCTCGCGACTAAAACTCCCTTGCCCAAAACTCCCTTTCCCTTCCCTTTCAAAAGTCTGCCACGCAGGCTATACGGGCGTGTGAGGCTCGCGCGGTTCGCGCGCATAAGACTCTTACACCACGCGTTACCGATTTCTTTACTGATTTTGAGGAAAAAACCGACTGTTTTTGCAGTCTATGACATCACTAATGACTCCACTAACTGCTTGCGAACATGGTTGTGCGAGGTTGCGCCGTTTCCGGCGAACCGCCAATGCTGCATAAGAGGATGAAAGAGGTGTAGTCACGTGGTCAACCCATGTTAGATGTTCGTCGATGTGGACCCCCAGTATCTTAGCTATGGTGACACGTTCTAGTAACTTCCCATTACAGCTCACAGCTGGATAATAATCGTGTAACGCGTGAGCTCGATGACATCTGGCGGGTGGAAACAAGCATCTACTTTGTTTGTTTTAGCTTCATTTAATGCGATGTTTGATTCAGATGAGTAATCCCCCAAACGTGATATTGCGTCATTTAATTCCACGACATCATTAGCTAAGTCCTTCGTCTTTGAGTGAACGAAGAAAGTTGTATCGTCCGCGTACTGGTAACGAGAACACTTAATGTGATTTTGAAGATCAGAAAGATATAGGTTGAAAATAAAAGGTCCGAGTATCGATCCCTGTGGGCCCACCAAACAGTACCGTCTTGATAGACGAGGTCTTGTCGTCTATTTGAAGGAAAAACCTAAAGCGTGCGTCTTGCTTAGTACTGTCTTAAAACGGTGTTAAAGGCCTTCAAATAGTCTGTGAAAACCATTAACCTGACTTCATCCCTCTTCATTGCCTGCGTGCAGACGTCTCCTATTTCCTTTGTTGCACGCGTGCAACAAAGGAAATAGGAGACGTCTGCACGCAGGCAACCCTCTTCATAGCTCGTAGGAGATCATCGCGAATACCTAGCAGCGCAGTTACTGTAGAATGGCCCTTGCAGAAACCAGATATACTTGGTGCCAATAAAGAAATCTCATCGATGTAGGAAATTAATTGTTTCAGTACAAACTGCTCAAACTCTTTTGAAAGGGCCGGCAGAATAGATACTGGGCAGTAATCTTTCTCGCTCTGTGGGTGATTTTCTAGCATATCGAAGCACCTTGACTGTAAATGTCTGACAAATTCCTCTATGATATCTAACACGTTGTATAAAACACGCGCTTGCTATGTACAAATACGTCATTGATCGTGTTGTCTGTCGGATTGTAAATATTTTAACTTCATGCCACCGAAACTGCCCATTTTCCTTCTTTGTTCATTTGCCAGACGGAAAAGCTTCTCAGGCCTTGCCATAGAATGGCAAATGTTTCCTTGTACTATATTGAACTCAAGGAAAATTTCCTATTGAACCAGAAACAAACCTGTCAGCACCCCCGGAGGGAATACTCCTGGGAATTCTTGGTAAGGGTGTGCCGCCCGGTTCTCCAAATCCTGACCCTAATTTCAGACCAAAAAATGTAATTTTCCACACCCGTTTTCAGACAAGACCTCGAAAATCCATACCCATTTTCAGAACTGGCTTTTCAGGGAGAAATTATGTTATCATTACTTAGATTAGCGCGCAAGCAAAAAAATTCTTCAATTCCATTTCGAATTTGCATAGAAAATTTCTCTTTCTTTTCTACTCATTTGGAATATAATTGAAACGATAAATACGTCCATACTATCCCGCAGTTCCCTCAAAAATCATACCCGATTCCAGACCAAAATGGGCAAAGTGTATGTACCCGTTTTCAGATCAATAAGGCGCAAAAACCCTACCCGGAGAAGAGCCACTTCCGTTCTTGGGTTGTTCGCTTTTGTTTAAAGAAACCAATCAGCACTGACTAATTGTGCCCCGTAAAGCCAATCACATGCTGTGAAGGAATGAAAAACGACGCGATAACCAAAATATCCTATCCTCTCAGGGATGTTTGCAGAAATGGTCTTATGCTAACGTACATTTACTTGATTAAGCGTCGAATTTAGGACAAAAAGTTGATAAGCGCTGCGGCCCCGGCATCACATTTACGTCAAACGCGGGGCAAACGCGAATTTGAACCACGTGACCAAGTTTGCTCTTTACTTGTCGTTTACTGTTTATTATCTCTACACATAAATCAAGTTCAAGTTCATTTATTTACACTTATTCAATTACAATACAACAACAATAAAAGGAGTAAAAACAGAGCTAACTATACATTGAATTAAACATAACTTAGGAAAAAATGTGCAGAAGCCAAAGGAGCCAAGCTGTCGACTTGGCTACTACCACAGAGCGGTTACAAGTGGGTGGAGGTTATACAGTACGCGTTTAACTCTCCACCCGCCATCTTGGTATCCACATTCCGCAGCGATTTTTTTATCCATAAGAATTATTTTGAACTGTTTTTATTTGCTCACTTTCTATTTTGAGAAATTCTCAACTTGAATCTGACGTTTGTCGCATACGTGAAGCTTAAACTCTCTAAAATCAACATCTAAAGACGTTCAATCTGTTAGTTAAATACCGAAAGTAAAAAGACCGTAGTTTAAACCATTGTTTGTCGCGTCCAACTTTCAAATAAACGCCGCCATCGAACAAGCGCAACATTAGAGGCGTGAAAATGTAACAAGCGTCGCGGCGCTTATTTGAGTAAGTAGAGTATCTTTGAAATTGTCGCCAGAGGTAATTGAACCTTCATTTTCAAAACGTAGTTGAAAACTTTATTTACTGCCCATGCCTCTCCATGGCATTAGCCATGAACTGCACCTCTCCTATTGAAACCTGAGCCAACTGATCTGAACTTTTTCACTGGAAATTTATTTCTGAAATTCACAGAAACAACTGCATTCAAAGCTTTTACGTTCCTGATGGAGACAAAATACAGGCCCAACCTCTTTGAGTGGTAGGATTTGATTCATGCCGGTATTCTTCATATTTGTAGTCGCTTTCTTACTTTACCAAACCTATTCAAACGACATTTGACAGTTGTTTGACCATGTATTCGATTTTTTGTGTTTTTTTCCTTGCGGGAAAAAGAAACGCAAAAATCCGAACCCACACGAATAAAGTGCCACACGGTATCTGAATCAGCAATATCCATTTCGTCATTTCATCCAACCTCCCATCTGCTGGCTTTGCGTTGGAGGAACTCCAAATTGCCTTGGCCACTGAAAATCAGTAGAACCTACTCGTGGTAATGGCGGCAACTGTCCGCTATGTAATGGAGGGAGGGGTGGAGGAGGAAGCGACATGGGCGGATGGGGTGGTCTGGTTTGAGGAGGCATGCTATATCCAGGAGGGTTCTGGAGAGTGTTGATGCCACTTGGAGGGGGAGGATAAAGAGAACTGGGAGGAACGGGTGGGAGAGGAGGTGGAGGGGCATTAGGGTAGCCCCCAGGGGCAGGGAAGTGGGGATAGGCCTGAGTTGGTGGCAAATAAGACTGATTCTGAAATTGAGTTGGAAGATGGAAGGACGCCATAGAACCAAGGTTTGAGCTACCAACAGACGCTTGAAATGACGCATTTGTTGTAAGCGTCACCCCTCCTGCTGGCTGCACTGTCTGTTGATAAGGGTTCATGGCGTAACTTTGCTCCCCTATGTAAGATGACGTGACAGTGGAATACACCGCTAGGGTCGGCTGGTGAACATTTGCGGCTGCAGTCATGTCGCTGGTTTGCTTTCCGGTTTGAGCTGCTGTGACAAATGTTGTGTCTACAGTTTGCGTGACTTTTGGAGGTTCTGTCGTGACCGTGACAGGTTGCTGTTGTTGCTGCTGTGAGGGGGTGGGCGCGGGAGGTGCAGGACTCACATTCTCCACTTGTATGTGAGATGACGTTAGAGCTGGTGGAAGTGGCTTTAGTGGTTCTGCCGGTGTCTGGCTGGCGACAGGAGGAGTATCTTCAAAGCAGTGGAAAAAAACTAATTAGTATACCGTTAACTGCAGCTTTTAAGCCCTGGGTTTATAGAGTGTTTTCACATGACGTCACGGCGGACATATTGGTGTCCCAAAACAATGAGACGGCCACCATGTTGGTGTCCTAAACCAATCCTGTGGGAGTTGAACTCTTTTCATATGCAAACGCTTTCTTTTGTTCCAATAAATTTGCATAGATGCTGGCCACGTGAGTGAAAACACTCTATACATCTTCGTAAGGGGTTTTGGGATGGCCTGTGAACAGACTCTCATTTTGGGGAAGGAGTGAAAAAATCGCGATTTTTTTCACCCTTTCCCCAAACAGAGAGTCTGTTCACAGGCTAGTTTTGGGAAGACTTATAAACGGAGAGGGGCTTAATCCGAGGGGGCTCTTAATCGGAATAGAAAAAGCGCCTCGAAACATACTAGCAGTGCTGATCAAAACACGTTTTAGATTTACTGGTTTTTAACTTACCTTCAAAACGCCATAATAAATCGCGTTAATTTCAATACATCTGGAGGGGGAATATATTATTTTGTTTGTAGGTAGATGGGCCTATAACAGGAGGGGGGCGGGGTTATAAGTAGGAAGCTTACTAGCGGCAGTTGACGGTATTTATTTAAGTATAGAAAGAAATATCTCAATCGCTTCAGTCTTGCGTTACTATATGATGTGGTTAGCTGACGCTTTATCAGATGGATAAATATAACAGGAAATGTGACGTTCTCCACCGTGTTCACACGTCTTTATATATAACAAGATAAGTGATATTAAATTTGTGAATAGTACAAATTTTTAGACTTTCATGCTGAACCTTCCCTGTCTTCAAAATGATTGTACATTTTAAAATAGATTTGTAACATTCGTAGCATCCCTATTTTAATTTTTTATTTTTTATTTGGAATGTTCTTTTAGTGTCCACAATTAACTAATAACTAGCTAAATACTCTGACACTTAAATAAAGTTCATTCATTCAAGATATTCGAGACTGCATCTCTGTGGTCATATAATGGCAGGTATGACCACGAAGAAGACTTGTACTTGAATGATTGTCATCACGCCTGGTATCAACGATAGTATTATTATAATGAATAAATAAACAGATAAATAAATAACTAACTACAGAAAAACCTTTCTCACCGGATGCAGTTGTCTGGGATTTGATCTCAGATGAAATACTGGTGTGTTTCTGAAAAAAGACAGAAAAAATAAGAAAAAAAGAACAAGAAACAAACAAACAAAAAAACAATTACAATTATTTTTTAAAAAAACTACTGTAAAGAACAAGTGATTGTTGAATTTTTAGAAGGCATAAAAGTGGGAAACTAAAGAAAAACTTTGGAATAACTGGTCCTACCCTTTTCTTTGCTGGAGGACTCGAGCTGGGCAATGGACTGGAATGATTTGATGAACTTCCTTCATCACTAGCTTCTGTTTTCTCCTTCTTCTTTCCACCACCATAGAGTTCCATCATTTCATCGCATATGCCTTAAAATACCATAGTAAAGACATGATTACGTTGTATTATTTGCACATTCAAGCAAGTTTTCTTCTACAAGAAAAATTGTAACATTTTAAGAAATATATTTTTTTATCATTCTCATGAGGAATTGTTTTCATTTTTATAAGAAAACCTGCCAAGTTTTCCATTTAGACATACTGTTGGTATGGCCTCTACAACACTTAAAACAAACTACATACTGTAATTTCAAAAAACCGTTTCATGAGATTCTCATGCAGGCCAAAACAGAGAGGAGAAGTCGTTATGTCACATGCCATGGTAGCAAGAGATAAGTAGATACTCGACCTTCGACAGGTGTCAAGCAGCAAGAGTTGCCTAGGCACTATTTCAACATCCCCTACATCGGGTATTTTTAGGGTGTCGCACAACCGAGGGTGTGCAAACTCATCAACCGGTTCTGTAAACCAATTGACATCAAGTTTGTTTATTCCACTTTTAAAATTAAGAACTTATTCAACGTGAAAGATCCTCTCTCTGTCTACAAATTTTCCTGTGCAAGCTGTAACTCTTGTTACGTTGGCGAAATAATCAGACACTTTTCCAAGCTCATGCACAAGCACATGTCATCGGACAGATCGTTTCATGTTTATAAGCACTTACAGGTTTCAGAGTCTTGTCATACCTCCTGTAACTTAGACTGCTTTAAGATCTTACACTCGCCCCTACAAGGTATCAGGTTAAGCTTAAGGAGTCTATGTACATTAAGTGGGAAAAGCCTGACCTTAATCAACAGGTCAAACACATCCATCTCATGCTTTCTCTATAGATGCACGCACACGCATCTGTTAATTTTGTTAACTCTAAATTTTATATGCAGTGTATTTTTTTCCAACGCAATGTAACGTGTACTGTACATTGTAACAGGCACATTTTATCAGCGGTAAACTTTCATAACCGTCACACTGACGATGACAGATGTACCGTCGAAATGTGTTTGTTAAAATTTAAAAAGTTGCACTATTTTAAAAAATTATTGCGGTCTTGATCATTTCAAGAGATAAGAATTACTAAAGTACCTTCAATAACTGATTCAGGAACTCCCTTGGTAAATGATTGGAACCATGTTTTCCCAGGTACACTTGCAGATGCTTGAAGATCATGGTTGTTAAACTTGGCAGCCAGTGCTATCATAGCTACAGCAGTGACCTCAGGCTTGTGCCTCAAACACAATGTAGTGGATAGACTAGAGGATTCAATACAATACTGTTATTTAACAATAAATTATTTAATTTTTATTTTTCAGAGGCACTTTTAAAACTTGGTACATTACAGAGACCATCAACCAGTACTTCTTTGCAATCATCAGTCATCATCAACATCACCATTATATCATGAAAGGTATTGTTCATAGTGGATAATGTGTTTAAAGGGTTTCGTTAATCGTTTGTCTCACGATTGTCCCTTAGGTATTGATCATGACGTTTCGACCACATACTGCTGGTCTTCATCAGGCAATAGTGTTGATTCGTTGAGTAAGGACTATTTGTATCACCATGGTTGTTATTTAATACACAAAGGTTTGTCATTTTCACAAAAAAGAGGCATAGGAGTGAGCTACTAACATTATCACACATCTACAAAACGGTTACACAGACTTAACATTATGAACTGCAATGTCAAACCTGTCATTTGAGAATGTCCATGCCATTTGGACAAGTTTGTTGATTTTTGCGCGGTCACCTGAAATGAGTTCACAAATGAAAATGATATAAGTCCCCAAGAAGCAAAAAAAGAAGCGAACATCAAGCTAATTAAAAGTACTTTCAACAAAGAGAACAACCAAGTTTTATATTCTGGGATATCTTCTCTTGTTTCCGAGATATTCATGAAAAGTTTGTGTATTATAAAAATTAGAAAGAGACAACATCATTAATCGTTTGGGTTGATTTCCATTGTCATATAATTTTCACATGCACATGCACGGAAATTTGACGTGTGTAAATAATTAAAAAATAGAGGCGATGTATGAAAGGCTGCGCGTAAACGTAAGAGCTGAGTGAGGTTCAACCTTAATCATAATGTTAACGCGTGACCTTTGATACATTGCCTCTCTTTTATTTACGGGTGTAAAATTTACTTGTGTGCACAAGTAAAAATTATGCCACAGTAGAAATCCAAGAGGGAGAACGAAACAACTGTAAATTATAACATAGCTAGAAAATTATAAAAATTCAAAACAATATTCCTATTCTGAAAAATCCTGAGTCTCTTGAGTGCAAAACTCAGCAATAGACAAGGTTTACCATGTGTTTTTGAAATTTTTTATTTTTCGATAGTAAGGAAAAGAGGTGAGTGTTGTTGTTGTTGTTGTCATCTCCAGCGAGCTGTGCGGGCTATGGCGTGAGCTCATTCTTTGCAAAGTTGTTTTCTCTCAATAACAATTTTTCGGTAAATTAATAGTTTTTCGGCACCTAAATATGGATTTTACAATCATTTTGTACACTTTCTCTCAGTTTTTAAGATTAACTGTGAGGAAAAAAATATTTCAGTTAACTGCTGCATTGATACAGTTATTTAGAGGCTAGAGTTGATCCAAAACGTGCTCAATATCTCGACATACGCACGCTGACGATGAACTATTTGTTAATTATAAAATAATCATGAACATAAAAAAAAAATTTTAGGGATTTTATAAACAATTTATGATAACTTAAATATCATAAAAAAAAATTAGGGCTAAACAACGCAGCTTTAATCTTTGATCCTAAACAAGGTGTGGCGGGATAACTTGTCATGCATTCTTTTAAATCAATTATTCTGTAGACAAAATCCTATAGTGTTACCACTTGAATGAAAATGAAATCTCTTTGCCCGTTTGGCAGACTTTTTGCATAACACCATCTGTTTCTTTGGATTTTACAAACAGAAACTTGGAATTTTTGTAAATTTTTTAATATCAGCCTCCAGTTGAATCAAAGGTACACACATGTGAAATCTTCCTTTTCTTAAGCAATCTGCAGGCTCGCTCACATACCTCTCAAGGCTTTTCCGAACTTTAGAAGGCTTGGATACGGATGTTCCACTTGTAAATCAAATTTAATAGTTTGAAGCAACACCCTTTCATACATCATTACTTCTTCCTAGAAAAAAAATCAGTCACAAGTAATGAAAACTTTATTCAGGTGCCTAAATTAATCAGTTACCCACTATCATCTGACACAAAAAAATTAGGCTAATGAAAAATGTTCAAGTTTCATGAGAGCAGCTTTTGGCAGATGATGATTTCAGACTTGAGTGCTGGAAAGAAATTTTCTTGAATATTGTTTCTAAAAGCCATGGTGGTACCAGTATTAAAGCAAAATACAATACATGTCACAGATGGATATTAATTTTCCCTGTTCCTTTTCCTTGCAGTTCCTTGGGTCACATATTTCAACGTATATATACATGTATTATTACTCAAAACTACACAAATGGTTTGGTAATTGCCTATATTGTATAACATTGGTTCCATGCAAATAACATAAAATGCCTGGTAGACAGCAATGGTCCACTGTAAACTTTCCTCCAGTTTAACTAATAGTACAAAGTGCTATGGGGTTCCAATAAAACCACTGCATTCTCCAGTTAATTAGCTTTTGTAAATGTTTACCTTTGGGTCCTCACCAAAAACTTCAAATTGAGCATCTGTCAAAATACTTTTGGCTGTCTTGATTATATCTCGGCACTTTTTTGGAGTTTCTTCCACCTTTCCAGCAAGAAACAAGCAAGCAGCACTAGTGACCTATTGCAAAACAGTTCAAGGTAAAGAGAAAATATCCAGTTAGGATACTTCTTTTAAGGCATCAGTTGGTTGGAACATTACTATACTATACAGGGTCATTATTGATGCCAAGTCTATTAGGAGCTCAAGTGACTGCACGCAAAGGCAACAGGAGCGAAATGCATACATATATACATACATACATACTTTATTGAGACTCCCTTCAACAGGGCTTTTCAGTCACAATGTTAACTATTACATTATACTGGTAAATAACAAAAGAAAACTTATTTACAGTAGTTTAATGAAATTCAAAATACATTCAGAATTATTCAAAATATATTCAAAATTATTTTGTATGAAACATATTATTAAAAAGTGTCTGCTTAAAACTATCAATATCTTTAGTGTTCTTAATAATTATTGTCATCTAGCCCATTCCATTCCCTTAGACCCCGAAAATAAAATGCCCTTTGTCCCATTGACAGTCTACATTGGGGGATCACAAAATTGTTACATTGCCTTGTGTTCTTGTTGTGAACTGCTGAATGTTCAATAAAATATTTACCTAAATAATCTGGAGCCAAGCCATTTACACATTTGAATACTAAAACTACATCATTAAACAGAACCTTCTCCGTAACATCTAACCATTTAAGAGATCTACATTCCTGGGAGATGAGGTCAAACCTCTTTAAACCTAATACAACTCTGGCAGCAAAATTTTGTACCAACTGCAGTTTGTGTAGGTTACGTTTAGATGTGTTCCCCCATACTAAGGAACAATACAAAAGTTTACTGAAAACAAAGCTATTCACAAAAAGATGTTTAATTTTATTCTACCTATCTTTATCAAATGGTTCATGCCATTAGAAACTGTTTTAGTAACATGTACATCATGGGTAAGATATTGATCAATGTATATGCTGTAGTTCAATCTGCACTTTGCTACAATTTATTTTAATACCAGTACACAATATATAAAACTGGTACAAAATATTTTGTACTAGTCAAGAGCCCTGCAAATGCTAAAGACCAACGCATACATGTAACCATTTCCCAGAGGATCAAAGTGTGGACAGCACTAGACACCGTATAAATCATTCTCCACTGGATAACTCAATAATTGCTTCCCCACACTTGTCTACTGGATAGTGATTTACAAATGTCTGGTGGATAGCATTGTCAACCTGGCTCCAGTTGTTCAAACGTTGAATAGCACTATCTGCTGGATAAATCACTATCCAGCTGATAAGAACTAGGGAAACCAATATATTGAGCTATCCACTGGATAGAGATTTATTCAGTGGATAGTGTTATCCATCTTTTGGAAGAGAAACTTGATGTACATAAAACTAATAAACACCTACCCAGCGAGGAAAATTTTTAAAAGACTGCACCATATAAAATCTGTGGAAGTATACAGCACCTGTAGCCATAGTATCATAACGTCTGATTTTCACTTGATTAAGGATTTACACCCGCTTGAAAAGTGCAAAAAAAGGCTTTTCAAAGTATTTAAGACTACAGATATAGCATATATCAAACATCATATGGTTCAAGCATTATATAATATATGGCAGGTCATCACGCTATAATGTATTACTGTAATGTAGTTTATGTGCTTTACGGTTATTTTGCCCCCAAGTAATTTCACCCGGAGTAGTAATCCTTGTTCTTTAAGCCATAAACCAAAGCAAGCACGTTACAAATAGGGGGCTTTACAAATGGGGTGCTAAGTAACTAGGTTATGATGACTTGGTGGCGAAATGAACAGTTTCTGTAACACATAGCCTGTGCACAGAAATAACCAAAAACAAAGGAGTAACCGTGATAAAAATCGACATGAATTTCTTAAAAAATAATTCTCTAGTAAAGTATTTTTGAAAAGTAGGCTTAAGGTCCAGTCTCAAAATATTTTTTTATTTTTTCAAGGCCTGCCTCAGACTGACCACACTAGAAACTGGAATTATAAGCGGGGCATTACTGCAGGCAGCCTGCAAATGGCAGTGTAGTTCATAGTCCTATATCAGCATGAGTAAGTGATTACCACTTGGGAAGTAATAAGCTTAACAAATAGGCTCACAACAAACATTCATATGAAAGGATACAATCTCATCTTGTTTCCACAATTCATAATGAATCGTGTTCCTTCTCTTCTGTAACGTGTCTCTGTCATATAATCGATACCATCCAGCCTCGATGGTGTTCTCACCAAGCCCTCTTTACTGAAATACCAGTTCGGCATGATTACTTATTACCTGGCAAGGAATAAATCTACATTTTTTCTCTAATTCAATTCACTACAGAAGCCGCCATATTGGAACCACGCAAGCCTTGCAACATTTAGCGCGGTCACCAAGCAAATAAGCATAAGATCGGCCCCATTGCCTCTCGATCTTTCTCTTTTCACATCGACATTAGCAATGGCTGATGGTGTAAGTTTCTCCCCTTTAGAATCCGACTAAATACAAAGCAATCCTTTCAGTTACATATTTTTTTAGACTTAAGATTGTGTGGTACAGTTATTCTGGGTCTTTTCGTAAGTGATTTTAATTTCTTTTTCGCAGAGTTTGTACACGTATCCCGATAACTTTCGGGCCTATAAAATCCTCATCGCCGCTGAGTACAGTGGAGCAAATATTTCTCTACCACCTTTCAAGTTTGGAGAGACCAACCAGACTGCTGAATTTTTGAAGAAATTTCCTCTTGGCAAGGTATTCATAATATTTTTTCTTCACAACAAAAAAGTAGTATTTTTTCCAAAGATATTTCATAGAGTATATTTATTTTGTAATTTTTGTACAAGCGCAGAGTATTTTTGTACAGACCCTGTCGAGGCCCAGAGGGGAGGCGAAGAGAGATACTCTGTCATGAGGTTCAAACCCCTTAGATCTTAGACCATCCCCTTTTTTTTCTTCGTTTACCGTCGAATGCGTTTCCTGATGTTGGGTCGGTCGGTCGGATTGAAAGAAAGAAACCTAAAAAAAAAAAATCACAAGAAGTCTTGGAATAGTTGGCCCTGGTACCCCAGGACGACGTTAAAAGTTAACATTCACATATTTGGATTAACAAAATGTACAATATACTGTGAAAAATGTTCATGTTTTTGTTTCTGTTTTTCTCTGTGCTGTTACTATGCTCATTTTTCAGATGAAAAGAATTATTTTTTGAAAATGCCAAAAATGTGGGTTGGTAGGACGATGGTAAACGGAGAAAAAAAAAGAGGATGGCCTTATCTTTTTGCCTGGTTAGCTCAGTTGGCAGAGCGTCGGTCTGCCGAGCGGGAGGTCGTGTGTTCAAACACCGGCTGGACCAACACTCAGGGTCTTTAAATAACTGAGAAGAAAGTGCTGCCTTTGTAATGACATCTACAAATGGTAAGACTTTCTAGTCTTCTCGGATAAGGGGGAAAAACCATAGGTCCTGTCTCACAGCACTTTCACTGATTTGTTCTTGTTGGACATATAAGAACCCACATCACTATTCGAAAAGAGTAAGGGTCGTACACCCCGGTAGTGTGGCGAACCTTTATGGGTTGTGGGATTGGGTAGGGATGGCACCCCGCATGGGACCTGAGTCCCGTTCGTGCACATTTTCTCTGGGCATGCCTGTGTCCAGAAAAGCTGGTAAATAAATAAAATAAATAAAATAAAAATAATACCTTACAAGTAGCTAGGTCCTCATTATCAATAATATTTTCCTGTTATTATCAGTTCTCAAAATAATTAAAAAAGAGGTTCTTTTGACTGCATGGTTTTCTTTCACCAGGTCCCAGCATTTGAGACCAAAGATGGAAAGTGCATTTATGAAAGCAATGCCATTGCTTACTATGGTATGTTAACATGTTTGATCGTAAAGTTGCATCTTTCTTATCTTGTGAACAGACTTCTTATTTGGGGCTTGAAGCAAATGAAAATTTTTCTTTATCACCTTTGGGGGAGATAGAAGGCACTGGAGTCTGTGATTGTTCCTTTGATGCTGCTAATCCTCTTGATGCTGGAAATTGGTGTCGTGGCCTCTTAAACAGAAGACTAGTCAATGGCAGATCTTAAGCGTGATTGGACTAACAGCACTTAATTATTTACTAAAAAACTTAAAAAACAACCACTGGTTTACTGGCAAAATGATGTTTGAGGAGTGACCACAGAAATTCCTTGCTTCTGGTGGGATGAAATCAGAAGCACTTCCCAGATCTGGTTATTGGTGCATCATCAGTGTGAAATTTTGTAGGAAAACTAGTGGTGGCTTTGCAAAATATCAGCTGTTTTCTCAGGCTGAAGAAATCCTAGTTTTTGTACCATAATTGTTTACTGGGCATCCTGGGTATCAGGTGTACAGAGCTAAATTTGGGCTCCATACAATTTTTCTTAATTAAACCACAGCCTTGAGTGTTTACTTCATACAAAGAATTAGCATAGTACATTACGCAGCTTACTTCTTCTTAATTTGTGTTAGTGTCTAATGATGAACTGCGTGGGAAGGCTCCTCTGGAAATGGCAGAGATTCAGCAGTATGTGAACTTTGCCGATCAAGAACTCTTGCCGGCAGTGGCTACCTGGGTGTTTCCTACTTTGGGTTTGATGCAATACAACAAGCAGGTGCGTAATGTTCTATTCACGTTATTTGAATTTGGCTATGATGATCATTTTTTAGGGTTTTTTCACACTCTGGGTTTCTGTTACCCTAAATAGAGGCATTGACAACCAAGATGCTATGCTGTTGTTTTCTGTGGCCTTCTTGGTTCTAATATGACAACACTACATGTACGTTGAAATAGGTTTGACTTGACACCGTCTTCAATTTTTCAAAGTCGTGATTTTAGAAGCCAATTTCCATTTCTCTTAGAGGTTTGAAAATTGGGTTTGTTTCTTGCCATGTTGAAGACAAAGTGTTTTATGAACCTAAATCTTTTCAAATAATTTTGCAGTCCACTGAAAAAGCCATGGAGGATGTTAAGAAGTGCTTGACAGTCCTGAACAATGTTTTATTGACCAAGACTTTTCTTGTTGGTGAGCGAGTATCTCTTGCTGACATCTCAGTTGGCTGCAACCTTCTCATGTTGTACAAGCAGGTTTGTAACAATACTGATATATGCTTTAACCCTTTAAGCCCCAATAACCACACCCAAATTCTCCAATCTGATCTCCATACATTTCCTTTAAGAATTAGTTGAGAGAATTTGACAAAAGATCAAGGCATTGTCTCTTTGGTGATAATTTTATTAATTTCTCATAACCATTTCTCTTGACAATCTATGGATATCCTTAGGAGAAAATTGATGTTGATTGCTATTGGGATTTAAAGGGTTGACCCTCAACATTAGGGAGCTTAAGCAGCGACGTTTTTGAGCGACGCACGTCAACCGGAAGTGAGGTATTTTCCCTCTTAACATGCCTTGATGATATAAAATTTGTATTCCTTAGCTTCTTTACTGTTATAGAGGCGATTTGACTGAAAATTTGCGCGAAACCACCGTCAAAAAATGAAAAAATGCCACTTCCGGTTGACGTGCGTCGCTCAAAAACGTTGTTGCTTAAGCTCCCTATTATCAGGTTATTGTCTGCATTGATTTATATACCTTTTTGAAAATTGCAGTGGAAGCTCTCTTATGGACATTCTTCTTAAACAGACACTTCTTCTTAATATTGCTGCCCTCGACAAAAGAAATTTTTATAAGTTGTTGAATTTCACTTTGCCCCACTTGAACTGACAAACCTGTTAGCCAAAACAGTAATTTTTCCACGGAAATGGTGGGAATTCCTAGCTATCATGGCCAGTTGACTTGGACTTGACATTACTACATTTACATTATTATATCATTACATTATCACTTCCTAGTGAATAACCCGGTTCTGTCTGAGGTCTTTGGAGTCACCGAAGTCAGGGACTCGACAGACAATAGTAGTAATAATAACTCAACAAAAGAGTCAGTCCTCAGATAATCGTTATTTTTCCATATTTATGGACAGTGACAAAGTCATTGTCAATAAAAGTGCCAAAAAGGAATGAGACAATAATTATTATCCAGCCATCTTGACCGAAAAAGCTTGGTCAGTAAAGGATTGCTCACAGATTCAGACATGTAATGAATGAGTTATTACATCTTGTTTTAATTGTCAGGTGATGGACCCCACCTTCAGAGCTCCATTTGCTAATGTGAACAGATGGTTCCTTACCATCATAAATCAGCCACAGTTTAAAAAGATCCTGGGAGAGGTGAAGCTTTGCCAAACTATGGCTAAATTTGATGGTGAGTCTTAGTTATCTTATTAATTCTTACTGTCAAACTCAGAAAACCGTGAACACCTGAAAAATTTAAGGAATGTTGGTTGTGTACTGGCCAGTTACAATAAAATTCAGGATATACAAGCAAACCTCAAAACTACCAACTAATATTACTGTTGCTGTTTGCGGCTTAGTTATCTCGCACCTTACTGGCTTTTTTTGCGCAACACCATAGCATTCCATAAATATTTCTGGTGTTCACAGTTTTGTGAGTTTCACAATAATAACACCCAAAAGTGTCGCCACCCAAGGCCAGCGTGCAAGAAAATTCTCAAGTTTCAGCAGTGCAAATAGCTGCATACTGTGAAATAGTTTTTGCGATTAAGTATTAAATCTAAAACATGTTACATAATAATTATTTCCTCAGGAAAGAAATATGCTGAGTTGCATCCTAAGAAGGAGGAGAAAAAGGAAAAGAAAGCTAAAGAGGAAAAACCAAAACAAGAAAAAGCCAAGCAGGAAAAACCAAAGAAACAAGAAAAGAAAAAGGAAGAACCAGAAGAGGAAGACGATACTCCGCCGCCGCCAAAGTTTGTAGACCCTTATGCTGGTCTGCCAAAGAGGTACAGTTGACTTGTTCAAACTGACTACTAAGGGTGCTCTCCAAAAGTCAGAACTGGCCAGTGGGACCATAGCCTACGCCGCAGATGAAACTAAACTCTGGTTAAGTCCATCTGCGAAACAACTCTAAAATTCTTCCCATAGGTTCCCACCTGTCCTGCGTACCAGGATTTGAGTATGCGCCATGATTGGCCTGTTCGAAAAGGCTTTGTTGATTTTCAAATCAAGATGAAAGGAAATTCAAAACGTGTTTCCGGTAATTCGTTGAGTTTGTTGGGGGCCTAGAACAAAGATATTGACACTGCGTTGCAGACATTGCTAACCAAGGTTAAATTACTTGTGCGATGCAGGCATTCAAAACATCATTTTCTACTCTAAACAATACACAACACAAGGTAAATGCTATCTGGAATTAACAACACACTTACTATGCTATACACTTATTAGCACTAAATACTACACAAATGCGTGCTACCTGAAATAACACATAAATTCAGGTTTATCAACAGGTACGCATGCTAACACCAAACCACTTTCAACCACAGAGAACAGAAAGATATAAAACATGCAAATGTGGCCAGTAAAAACTTTTGGAAACTGTGCTAGATTGGGTGTGTGCTCTTTTCTCTACTCCTTCTTTGTAAGGTGAATGACTGTAATGCTAGCAATGTTAGTAAGCATGTTGTAGTTCAAATGAACATCACCAAAAATTGCAGTTGTGACTTACTGCATAAGAATTGTTTATAGTTTCTCCTGGGACAGCTGTAGTACCCAGGGCCCAGTTGTTCGAAGGCCAATTATTAGCACTAACCCAGGGTTAAATTTAACCCGCGTTTCTTTTTCTTATGTTCAAAAGCATTTCCCAGATAATCAAATAATATTTTTCCCAGATAATCCAATCATCAAATTGTAGACAAAATGAATAAAACTGAATTTGCTTTTTAAACTTTCATTCACCACTTGCACATCTCCCATAATGCACCTAATTTGCCCCCAAAATTTTGCATAAGCATTGTTTTCAATTTCTCTTGGGATGGCTGTAATACCCAGGAGAGTTGAAAAACAAAGGTTATGCAAAATTTGGGGGATGAAAGCGGGGGGTTAAATAAGGTGCATTATGGGAGATGTGCAAGTGGTGAATATCTGAATTCAATTTCACACCTACACGGGGTTATCTTAACCCAGCTTTGACAACCTGGCCCTGGAAACAATGGTTATGCACAGTTTTGGAGGATAAACCAGGTGTATTATGGCAATGTGAACATGGTGAATTAGCGCCAGAAATGTTGTGACAATCTTTACCTCCTTAGCTCTTTCGATATGGATGCCTTCAAGCGAATGTACTCGAATAACGACACGGATGTGTCCGTTCCTTACTTCTGGGAGCATTTTAACAAAGAAGACTATTCCATTTGGTTCGCTGAGTACATGTACAAAGACGAGCTATCATACATCTTTAAGGCCTGTAACTTAGTGGGTGGAATGTTTCAGCGACTGGAAAAACTACAAAAGACAGCTTTTGGTAGTGTGTGCATATTTGGAAAAGACAAAGCAGAGTCAGTCTCTGGTATATGGATATTCCGTGGACAGGAGCTGGCCTTCAATGTAAGTGTTCTTTGTAATTGAGGGTCAACAGGTGCTTGCTTCTTGCAAAGAGAGTCACGTACTATTGGTTTGCAAAGCCGGTAAAATCGTTAGTTAGTGCGAGCACCTGGCAGAGGAGCTGTGAAGCTGCCATGCTCGTTTCTCTTATCTTCGCCGCCAAAACTCTCACAAGCACAAAAATAAATCTGCCCGCTATGCAGACCATGTACTATAGCCTCCACCCAACAGAAAGCGAGTATGGGATAATCGAATTTTTTGAAAGGGCTGCTATTACGTATCTGCGCCTCCCGTGCCCCTCTCTTGTTGAACCTGAATGTTTAAAAGCCCGTCGGGCAAGTTAATAACAAAAAATCGCTATCCCGATAGCAAAATCCACTAGCCCCGGTTTATCAGACACGACTTTCTTTGCACGCTGAGTCCTAAGTTTCGCCCCTTACCTGTACATCAAATTTGCTGATTGACATGAACTGTCTAGAAAAGAATCGTTGGATGAATCACTTCATGTTACAGAAGGCTTTGGCTTTGGCAGGGCAGAACTACACGTAAAAGTTTAAGGAAAAAAAAGCATGAAACTTGATGGAAGATTTTGCTTTACAAAAACGAAAAAAACAGAATGGTTACTGTACAAGGAGGTCACAGAAAGATGTCAACCGCTTTTGTGAAGAATATCTGCAAGGAAAAATTTTCGTTGATATCCTTAAACTTCCGAAGAGCAGTTGATTGTTTTGCAGATTTGCCTTCTGCTTCTTTAAATGATATCCTCTTCTATCTGTACTCTCCATGTCATACTCACATTCATATCATTGTTTACAATTACCATTACAGTTACAGTATGTAGGCATTAGGCCAGAAGTTAGAGTGATTTTACTTAACCCCTGAAATAGATTGCACACTTCTACGCAGTATCAGACTGTAATTTCACTTTTTCCTTTTGTTTACTTGTAACTATTTGGCACTAATTGTTGGGCACTGTTTCACGAGCTAAGTAAAATCACTCTACGCTACAACAGAGCCTCGATGATTATTACAACATAGAGTAGTGGACTGAATCGTTGTGTGGAAACCATTTATTACTATTATGAGGGGCTCTGTTTGTGTTGTTGAGATTTTCTCTTCCATCGGCCTGCTGCAATGTACTGTGAGTTATGTCACGGACCATTAATAGTTGTTGCCATTGTTATGTCTTCAACCGATTTCTGTCTTTTTGCTACTCATTCAGTCACACTTTGATGCTTATTTAAATTGTTTTTTCAGCTTTGGGACAGTTGGAACGTCGATGCCCCCTCGTACAAGTTTACAAAGCTGGACGTAGACAATCCCGAAGACAAGAAAAAGATCTCGGACTACCTGAAGCAAGAGGAAGGAGATTTGGTGAACCATGGCTTTAACCAGGGAAAGATCTTTAAATAGACTGTTATATGCTGCAGAACTTTTGAAAATAAGAATTAAACAGCCTCAGCAAGTAGAGAACTGTGTCAATTTTCATGCTTTCGTTTTTCATCCGTCGCCGCAAAAATCTCATTAAGTGGGCTCTTCAGCGGATGGCCTACTATAGAGCGTTTTCACTCACCTGGCCAGCAGCTTCTGCTATGCACCCTCGGAGACACAGGGGCAGTCAGTCGGGTCGGGAAAAAAGGCGCGACGAACGTTTTCAAGCAAGGGTCCGACGAGGATGGCAGCTATGCAAATTTATCGGGAAAAAAGGAAGTTTTTGCTCCTACAGGATTAGTTTGGGACACCAACATGGCTGCCGTTTTATTGTTTTGGGACAGCAGTGTGACGGACGTGACGTCACGTGAAAACTCTCTGTTGCTGGTAATCTGCTGACCTCACACCGGCCATGCTGTTGGACAACAGCAAACGAGTTTCCCACCGCTGGGAACTTAACCAGAGCGAGATAAACAGAAGGAAAAAAAATCGCTTGCCCCGCTGCTGACTTTTATTATCTCAGTGCTCGGCTCCCACTACTTATCCCAATAAAAATAGCAATAATCGAAAAATAGCAAGCGCTTTCCCCTTCCCATTGTCCCCCGCGCGCTTTTGTCCCCCTCTCCTCAGCCTCCCTACGACACAGAGGCCTCTCTACGGAGGCGAGAGTTTTGGGAGCAGTCGTGCCGCTTCACTAGCCCTTGTCTGGCGAACAGCACCTTTGTCGCGCTTTTTTTAAAGCAAATTTTGCGAAAAAAACGTTACTGTCTTTGCTATTACAGCCCAAAGGGGTGCACTTCATGATACTAAGCGGGAATCAGATTAATTTCTTTCTTGTGAAACTGCCTAAGTTACCGCCTAAGAAATAATGAGCGCAGAGTTAGAGTTGTGGCCTTAATTGCGTTCACCGCCCTTATCTTGCGTTATAAATTTGTTATGCGCCTGGGCGTGAGACTGGGGATATGTATAGCGTACCTAGAAGGCGAGAATACGTCCTTTCGGCCAATTTCATGGTGAGAAGTTAGTCTAAGTCTATGCAGGAAGTGAAAAGACTTAATCAGAGAAATGTACGAGATTATGAAGAGATTTAGAATCATATCAGATTCGAGTTCACAGTAAGCAGATAAAAACTGTGCAAACTTATTCTTATCATAATGCAACTGGCGTGGAACGACTAGTTTTTTGTGGACGTTGTGAACAGTGAACGACAATCAAGCTTAAGGAAAACATTGGTCACGTGCAGGGCCCTGGTCACGTGGTACAAATTGACATTTACCGTCAACGTGATTTCCTCAAAAACCGAGAACACTAGAGGTATTTTTGAAATGTTTATTGCGTTATGACCAGTCAAGGAAGGACAGCAAATACAAAACCAACAAAAAATAATAAACCGTCGTTGAAAGGTGGATCTGTGCATGTTTTTGTCCGTTCAAAAATTTGTCCGGGTCCGTGTAAACGGGGTCTAAGAGATCTACGGTCACAAAGATATGTCTTGAGACGATTTGCATTTTGTTGCTTTTACACTCGCGAAATAGACAGTCCCGCGCGAGTGAAACCACACATGTAGCCTGCGTAGCAGGCGCTGGGAAGAAATTAGGGAGCTTAAGCAACGACGACGGCGACGGCTACGAAAACGTCACTTAAAAAGTGAATTCGCGCTGCCTCAAACTTTATCGCGCTTATTCCATCTCGTTTAATTTGTCAAATTTTTTTTGTAGTTGAATTCTAAAGGACTGTATCAAAGTTCAGGAAAAGAAAAAGAAAGTTGTCGTGTGTTCCCGTCCTCGACAAAACGTGAAATTAGGCTCTTTCACGTTGTAGTCGTGCAATGACGGCTAAGAAACGTACAAAAAGCGTGAGGCATGTGCAAAGTTGTTATTTTGCCAATCTAAACCTATTGCTTTTTTGCCGTTGTCGTTGCCGTCACCGTCGTTATTGCTTAAGCTCCCTAATGTGCAAGAAAGAACGGGGTACGCGATGGAGACACTCCCCCCGCGAGCCCCGTTCTTTCTTGCGTCCATTACTCTCAAGCCCCTGCTACGCAGGCTACCAAACATGCCCATGCACAACCTTCGAAATTCCGTGTCATTTATGAACACGGTAGAAAGCGCTCACCTGCTTTGCTGCTATACAAAACATCAAGGCTATCATCAATAACTAGCTAGGTAGTGGTTGTTTATCATTTACATGGGGCAAACCGGTCGGTTCCGGTTTGGGCAAATAATAGAACGCAAAATTCGGGACTGGTAAATTTCGTCCTGGAATCGCAATTATTATTTGCACAAATCAGTTCCATTTACCAGAAAACGGCCACGAAACCCTGAAACTGGAATCAAAGATGGCTTTGAAGAAATTAAACGTAACAGGAATTTCCGTTTGGAACATTCCGACTGGGAAAACAGGACTACCTTTTCAGACGTTTCGTTGCTCCCGGAAATTTTCCACTGAAACGACCCGAAAAGTCATGTTCCATTTACTTTCCAACAGGATTTTCCGGGAACTTTTTGTTATATTAATGGTAAACAACCAGTGTCTGATTGGTGTTGACTCACATGTACCCGTCTGTCAAGTCCAATAATTAATGGGGCTAAAGAATTATTAAAAAGTGGAATCAACTTTTATTACAAGCTCCCGCTCAGCTTATTAGAAATCATTACATGTTACTTTTGATAGAGACTTCTACTGATTGTTTCAATTCGCAAGTACGTTAAAATATTCGCGTCCGATCTGTGTGAATTGCACAATAGAGACCTGAGGCCTAGCCATTGTAAAGAACAAACACATTAATTTCCCAGTCATACTTTATCTACCACTAAAAGTTATTCCGTGGACAAAAAGATCCCATTTCGTCAGTCATTATACATACATCGAGTAAATATATCCTCGTCTCCAAGGCTTTTCCCTCAGAAAATGGAAGGGAGAGGCTAGGGGAGGGGGGAAAAGCCCCTTCCGATCTCTAAGGAAATTGGCCCTGAGGACGAAGTTGAAGTAGGTAGATAAACATTTTCTCTAAGCCTTAACATTAAAAAAGAAACACTGATACTGATTTTTAAATGTCGTTGATTCATGATAAACCAAAAGAAGAGTGTGCTGAATATGATCCATTTCCATTAAGAGTTAACCTAAACCGAGATAAATGGTTCTTAACTGGTTTATACAGCAATACAAATCCGTTATGCACACCTGAAAAAAAAAGAACAGTTATTGATTGAAGGCGACAGGAGTAGAAGGGTTCTAAGGACAAAGGATAGGTTCACCCGGGGGATCATGAGTGCGCGCTCCTCTTGGTCGCTTGCAAAAACTGACATATAAATACTACCCTAGTTACTATCTATAAAGTATTATATGGCTGAATCCGCGATCGACCAAGCTAAGCGAATTCTGCATTCTGATTGGCTTCCCGAGAGGGCAAGATGGATTTCCCGCGTTGGTCCCGCAAATAAAAGATTTGTTTTTGGCCATATAATAAATCCCTCATTGACCAAGCTTGGTCGGTCGGCAAGATAGCTGGATATTGGCCTTGTTCTTTTTTGACTTCGACCTTGACTTCGCTTCGGTCAATAAAAACGCAAAAAACGCTTGGTTACACCGTAATTTTTAGAGAGTTATTATAACTCAAAAATGGAGTAAAACTTTTAGGTACAAGATAACCCCCTTTTTTGGGGTTACTTTAACTCCTAATTTAACTCCAAATTTGGGGTCATTGTTACTCCTGAAAAAGAGTTCTTTTTGCTCCCAGTCTGGAGTTAAAATAACTCCGAAAATGGGGTTATTTTTACTCCTTACATGGATTGTTTTTAAATCTTTTTGGAGTTAATTTAACTCTGAAGGTGGCGTAAAAATTTTAGTTACAGGAAAATCCCCTTTTTGGGGGTTATTTTAACTCCTCAATATCTGGGGTCAGTTTTACTCCTGAAAAAGAGTTCTTTAAACTCCTTTTTGGAGTTAAAATAACTCCCCAAAAAATAACTCCACTGTGACGAGTTAAATTATCCCCACTAGAGGAGTTATTATAAATCATTGAAAATTACTTTGTAATAACGCATATTTATAGGCGTTATATGTGACAGCTCTGCGTCCTGACAAGGGATTCACTTGCAATGTGACGACTTTTCGTGCTAAACATACTCAAGCCTAGTAAAGCTACTTAATGTGATGATATGTCCTATTATATTTCAAATCAATTCTTTTGAAATAATACTACAATAATGGTTTCGCGATCTTTTGTCAAGACTGTTAACAGTCTCTGCACGGGTACTAATATTCGAAGGCACTCTTTTAATGCAACTGAGCGATTATGACGTCTCATATCTTTTGCAATAAAATATGTGCAAACTAAGAAAGGATACAGACTGTTTTAGATAAATAGCTAGTATGAGAAATGACATTAACAAATCTTTACTTCACCAGTTCTACTAAATTAATAATTTCCTTCTTTCCTTGGACTTGTGTTCAGTTAGTTTCTTGAGAAGTAAAAATATCTTGTTGTATTAAGTGTAAAATAATAACAACAAAAATTATTACCTCGACATTATTGTGGGTAATCTATTTGCTCCCACCAAATTCCAATGTGACGTCATCACCAATGAGAACGAACGGTGCCCAGTGATTCACGGCGCCAAATTCTCTGGATTCTCTCATGCAATTCATTGCTTGGTTAAGGGCTTTGCTAACACTTTTTCCTTCCACAAGATGCTGATAGAAATGTTTCATAAACTCAAGAGTGGCCTTGTCGTCAATCGCCCACAAAGATACCAGTACAGAGCGAGCACCAGCAGCTAAAAATGCCCGTGCTATGCCGACTACACCCTCTGCTTTGATCTCGCCTTGAGCACTGTGGCAGCAACTGAGTACAACCAACCTTGCACGCATCTGAACACGTTTTACATCTTTCATCGTCAGAATAAAATCCATCTCACCATTTTTGGGTGCTAAGGCAATTTCCCCTGATTCCATCCTGCCATGTGCAGCGAAGTGGACCAAAGCAACTGAGCCGAGCTGCCTTAACACCTCATTCTTTGTGGCTTGTCTTCCAATAAGAGGCGTACAGCCAAGCACTCTACCAATCATCTCTACTTCCTGTCTGGCAAATGGCAACTGCGGTAGCGTCGTCACGTCTTGCACCCACGGATCACCGACGAGAAGTACGCCCGATGTGAGATGATGATCTACCGGACAATCGGCAATCATTTTTAAGCTGGTGAGGGATGGAGCCACGCGAATTCTGAAAGATTCGCAAAGGTACTTGGAGTCCGGTCCCTTGAATGCAGCAAATGGAGCTAAGCAAAGTGGACCGTCTGGGACGAGTATGACTTCACTGCCTGACAAAAGATCTTGGATAGGATCAATGATGGTGTCGTACAGTGTGCTCAAGGCTCCTTCTTGAGAGTGCAAGTATTGAGTTTGTCTATCACATTTAGGTGATCGTTTATCTGCCAATCTTTTATCCTTCGTCAAATCAAGTGAGCGATCTTCACACTGCACATCCTCTCTTGCACCAGTTTTCTCCAAAAGAGACTGAAAGAAAGTGTTGATCTCATATTCACAACTGACTTGCTTTCTTCTTAATTCAACCTCTTTTTCGGGCTGACAGACCCATAGAATTAATTCCTTCTCCACAATCGCCATAAATATTGTATTCGGAGGAAGGCCACTGCACAGTTCGTGAAAGGTTCTATTTTCTTGAATGAATTCCGCATCATTCTCTTCAGATGTATAATTTAGTGCCATAAGGTCTTTTAACCCCTGTGCCCGTCCTTTCTCAGCAGAAAACAAAGCCTCCGTAACCTTCCCTTCTTTTAATATCAGCCACCATAGTGCAGTGTATAGTCTTTGGTACTGATCACGTAAGCTTATTTTCCACTCGTCGTGCAATTGGGGACGATCTCTGATACTATTCAACAAAGAAATACCGAGCTCGTAATATTCAATAGCCACTGGAACTTGGCCTAGACATGCAAAATTAGAACCAAGATTTGAAAACGTTATTCCCTCTTGCAATACTTCACCCAATTCTCTTGAAATTTCCAGGGTACGTTTATGGTAGTCTATTGCTGTTTTAAAATCTCCCAGACTTTGATAGGCGTTGCCAAGACTGCAACAAGCTGATGCTTCACCTGATCTGTCACCCATTTCTTTCACAATTTTTAGGTGACGTTTATGGTAGTCTATCGCTGTTTTAATGTTTCCCAGACTAAGATGAGCGATACCAAGATTGCCATAAGCGGATCCTTCCCCTTGTCTGTCACCCAGTTCTTTCACAATTTTCAGGTGACGTTCATAGAAGTCTATCGCTTTTGTAGTATCTCCCAGGCTTTGATAGGCGTTACCAAGATTGGCATACGCGACTCCTTCATCATATCTGTCACTCATTTTTTTCGCAATTGGTAGGCCACGTTTATCGTACTCTACAGCTGTTTTAATTTCTCCGAGATGGTCATGCGCACTGCCAGGAGTGCCATGGGCCTTTTCTTCACTTGAACTGTCACCCAATTCTTTCGAAATCTTCAGCTGACGCTCATGGTAGTCTATGGCTGTTTTAAAATCTCCCAAGCGGTGATAGGCATTGCCAAGATTGCCGTAAGCCTTTCCTTCCCCTGATCTGTCACCCAATTCTCTAACAATCTTCAGGTGATCCTCATGGTAGTCTACGGCTGTTTTAAAATCTCCCAGACTGCGATAGGAGTTACCAAGATTTCCACACGCCTTTCCTTGTCCTGATCTGTCGCCCAATTCTTTTGCAATTTCCAGGCAACGTTTATGATAGTCTATGGCTCTTTTAAAATCTCCAAGACTTTGGTAGGCGTTGCCAAGATTGCCATACGCGGCTCCCTCATTCCATCTGTCACCCAATTCTCTCGCAATTTCCAGGATACGTTCATGGTAGTCTATGATTGTTTTGAAACCTCCCAAACGGTTATAGGCATTGCCAAAATCACCATACGCCTCATCGTCTTTCAGTTTTTTAGCTGTGTGTGTCGCTTTCCTGCCAGTTTTCTGGGAAACAAATTACGTACAATATATGTCTGAATGGATTTGACACAAGATGCCCACCCCTAGAGAGCCAGGTCCCAGAATCACGAACTCACCATCCCCACCCATGACAATCATGACTAGCCACTCACTCCACTGGGCTCCGTCTAAACGAGGCTTTAAATTAGCCTCGCTAAATATTAATAGTCTATCTGCACACATTGACGAACTAAGAATTTTGCTTTCCGACAGACCTATTGATATCTTAGCCATAAACGAATCTAAATTGGATGACACAATAAGCGATAATGAAATTCATATTTCTGGCTATGAATCTATTCGTAGCGATCGCTCTACCAACGGTAGGTCTGGAGGGGGTGTTTGTTTTTTTATTCGTTCCGAAATCAATTATTCTGTTCGCTCTGACCTAATATGTGAACACTTAGAAAGTCTGACTGTCGAAATCAAGAAACCCAGATCAAGGCCTTTTGCCGTTATGACCTGGTATAGACCCCCTGATTCTTCTATTGATCTTTTAAAACCATTTGAAGAACTTATTGGAAAACTAGACTCTGAAAATATCGAATATTACGTCTTAGGAGATCTGAATTGTAATATGGCCGCGCCTAAGTTTGACAACAGTACAAATATCTTATCTAATATTGCTGAAGTTTACGGCCTTGATCAGTTAATAACCGAATATACTAGAATTACCGACAAATCATCTACTCTAATTGATCTAATTTTCACAAATACTCCACATAGGGTCGTCTGTTCAGGGGTCTCACATATAGGCATCAGCGACCACAGTTTAGTTTACGCCTTTCGTAAAGTTTCTATAGAATCGACAACGTATAAGCATACTACCCTGAGATATAGGAAATTTAAGAATTTTAACTCTGATCACTTTCGCAACAATATATGTCAACAGGATTGGAGTAACATCGAAAATTATTCTGATCCTAATTTAATGTGGGCTGCATGGAAACAACTATTCCTGGAATGCGTAAACAAGCATGCCCCACTTCATGTAAAACGGGCTCGCGCCTCAAAGTCACCTTGGATCACACCTTACTTAAAGAAACGAATGCATGACAGAGATATTCTTAAATTGAAATCATCCCGTTCTAAGGATGCTAATGACTGGCTACAATTTAAAAAATGTCGCAACCTAGTTAATAACGAAATTAAAAAAGCAAAAGAGCTCTATTATAAAAGGGCATTAGATGAAAACGAAGGCAATTCGCGCCAGACCTGGAAGATTGTAAATGAGCTCACGTCAAGGAAAACTAATAATTGTTGCATAAAAGAAATCAAAAGCAACGGTAACTCTATTTACGGCCTTCCTGAGCTGGCCGATGCCTTCAACGATCACTTTTCTTCTATTGGACCCAAGCTTGCTAGCCAGATTTATTCTAATAATGGTCCATCACACCTACATTACCTTGAGGGAACTGACAAACGTTTTGAGTTAAAATGTACTGATCCTTCTAGAGTGTTCTCGCTTTTGTCTAAGCTTTGTAAATCGAAAGCCACAGGCCTAGATATGATGTCTGCGCGACTTCTTAGGGAATGCGCCGATCTGATTGCTGATCCTATGTGTTCTATTTTCAATCAGTCCATCAGATCGGGTATTTTCGCTCAGGAATGGAAATGCGCAAAAGTTATTCCACTTTTCAAAGAGGGAAATCACTCCGACTTAAACAATTATCGCCCAATTTCTATCGTCCCTATAGTAGCTAAGGTGTTTGAGCGTATCATCTACGACCAGGTTTACGGTTATCTTACTGAAAACAATTTGATTTCCAGCCAACAATCTGGTTTTCGTTCGCTCCACTCAACTGTTACTGCCTTGTTGGAGGCCACTAACGATTGGGCCTTCAACATTGAAAAAGGCAGTGTAAATGCAGTAGTTTTCCTCGACCTAAAAAAAGCTTTCGATACCGTTGACCATACAATTCTTCTAACCCTTATGAATGGTTTCGGTCATACCTAGATAATTGCAATCAACAGTGTTTCGTAAATGGTTCGCTCTCAAATAGTCAAATTCTCACTTGTGGCATTCCGCAAGGAACAATTCTAGGACCTTTGCTTTTTATTTTATACATAAATGATCTTCCTAATTGCCTGTCTAATTCAGTTGCACGTATGTATGCCGACGATACTCACACTGTAATTTTCAGGGAGTTATAATAACTCCTCTAGTGGGGCTAATTTAACTCCTTACAGTGGAGTTATTTTTCGTGGAGTTACTTTAACTCCAAAAAGGAGTTTAAAAGAACTCTTTTTCAGGAGTAAAAGTGACCCCAGATATTGAGGAGTTAAAATAACCCCAAAAAAGGAGTTATCCTGTACCTAAAATTTTTACTCCACTTTCAGAGTTAAATTAACTCCAAAAAGAGTAAAAACAACCCATGTAAGGAGTACAAGTAACCCCATTTCGGAGTAATTTTAACTCAAGACTAGGAGTAAAAAGAACTCTTTTTCAGGAGTAAAAATGACCCCAAATTCGGAGTTAAATTAGGAGTTAAAATAACCCCAAAAAAGGGGTTATCCTGTACCTAAAATTTTTACTCCATTTTTGGAGTTATAATAACTCCCTAAAAATTACGGTGCACCTGACCTTTGCCAGTAACAACATAGAAACGATCAATGATGTTATGAATCACGACCTATCCAATGTTAATACATGGCTCACTGCAAACAAATTGACTCTCAATTCATCTAAAACTGAGTTCATGTTAATTGGATCGCGGCAAAGGTTAGGTACTTACGATACTTCCCCTAAACTAATCATAGGTGGTGACATAATTAAACAAGTTAGCTCGGTTAAATCTCTGGGTGTGCATATAGACGAAAACCTTTCATGGAATATGCACATTGAAAAAATAGCCAAGAAAATCGCATCGGGCATTGGAGCAATTAAACGTTGTAGGCCTTTTGTTAATCGAACCACGCTGGAGTCCGTTTTCAATGCCTTAGTTCAACCGTACTTTAATTACTGCAGCGAGGTCTGGGGGCATTGTAACAAAAGTCTTTCGAATAAGCTCCAAAAGTTGCAAAACCGGGCTGCCCGTATTCTAACCTTCTCCAGTTATGACACAAGCGCTGATCCTCTTCTTGAGCAACTCAACTGGAAACGGTTGGATACTCAGCGACAAATACAAGTGGCCACCATGGTCTATAAATCTATACATGGTCTTGCGCCCGACTATCTTGGTTCTCTTTTCACTAAATATAATCCACCTTATAATTTAAGGAACTCTGAAAACAAACTAGCTGTTCCTTTGCCCCGCACCAATTTCTTGAAAAATAGCTTTAGCTATAATGGTGCGGTTATCTGGAACAGCTTGTCCCCTGAATTTCGGCAAGCAAAATCACTTAAATCTTTTCGAAATGGTTGTCGCGATTTCTTTGACTGAATCGATAAAACGCACACGGCATCTATGTAAAGCAGAATTTCTTTATTTTCTCTATTTTTACTATTTAAATTTTTAGATCATGTTTAGATTGTAATTTTTCTTCTTATTATTATTTTATCTGATAGATTTACCGTGTTTAAATAAAAATAAAGTTCAAGTTCAAAGTTCAAGTTCAATTAGCATTATGATTATCAGTCAGAGCAATCATTTGCGGGAGTAGCCTGCAGGGAACATTTGAGACTTTGCGCTTAACATTCAAACTTGAAACCCAATCAAAGTGTCCGAAAGCACCCCCGCCCCTTGATGGCAAGCTCCCCTCCCCCATTTTAATTCAGCAACCCTGGCTAGAGCACGAGCGATGTCATGCAGTTCTTATGAGGGGGAACCCAACGACTGTTTTCTGTAAAATATATGTTCGGTGAAGCAAATATTGCCTAGAATTTTCTATTACTTGAAGAAGGCTAAAAATTTCAAGATGAACGTTACTTTCCATTCATGTACAAATTTCGAAGCTAATCTAATAAATTCCCTGAGATTTTCTGAAATTTTATTTTTCACATTTCACTCCTCAGGTTAGGCTATTTTTATAGAAGAAAGGAAACCTAAAATTTTCGGGAAAATAATAATGAAGCCAGCTCCGAGTTGGCTTCTGTGTTAGCTCAAAGTCAAGGGTTCGAATTCCGTACAAGCAGGAATAGGCTTTTTTCGCAACTAAAAAAAAAGAGTTGCACCCATAACTTCGATGATCGATCTTCCTTATACTTAAATCCCGTCCCGCAATTCCAGTTTTAATCTCGAAGTTCGAATGTTTGTCACGTTGAATAACTGGGCAAATATAGAAGCTTTTTCACGTTAGAGCTATCTTGCAGCAAGAGAGCGCTACCTTAAAAGAGCTAAATTCACTAGCCGAGAGGGCCGAGAAACGTCACTTCCCCTCCGTTTTAACAGCGCGTTTCTAACTCCAAGACCGCCCTTCAAACAAAAAAAATACAATAACGATTTGAATTTTTAAGTCTTTTCTCTTTCTTACCTTTTTTTCGTGGCTCTCTGGCAGCTTCCCTTGTTCTCCCAAAGCCGTTTTCCGTAATTCTAACAACTTCTGGTTATTCGGGTCTATCTTGTATCAGTTAATTTGTTCAATAATTTATATAAATAGGAGACAAAGCTAACGAAGTTTAAAAAAATTATCTTCAGTTGTGTGATGATTCTTTGGCGATACAAACAAAGCAACCGTAAAGTACGTACTGTACAACAACGAAAATTTGTACTTGATATTTAGCATAAATACCACACGTGATATTTCAAAATTGTCTCAAATTTCACTCGCCTAACGGCTTGTGAAATGACGTGTAACAATTTCGAAATATCACTCGTAGTATTTATGCCAAATAACACTGCAAATCATGCTATTACCTATACTAATGATAACCATTACAATTTCCTCAAATTTTATTCGTGCAATACCTGCTTTGTTTTTCACTGATTGTTGTGTAGGGTTGTAGATTGACCATGATTTTCAAGAGGGCTCAAACATCACAAATTTTGTTATAGTTATGGTTACAGTTTAGCCAAGTCAAGCGTATCCCCCAAGATTACATTAATGAATTTATTATTCGAAAGTTGAATCCGTTGACAGTCGTAGATTTCAGATTCATGTCTGCATTCTTGCATGCGTAAGGAGCCGTGAATTCACACGCGAGTCAGTTACGAAATTTCTACCAGCTAAGTTTCCCTGAATTTGACGTAAATGTTTTCTATGAAATTTAACCCATTCAAAGATTTTCAATCTGACCAAATACAGAGAAGTTCTCGTAGAATTTTCACAGCTTATTACGCATGCAGAAATACCGATTTGAATTTGACACTAGTTACCGGAACGACTAACGGATTCATTTTTCAAATAACCAATTCATAAATGGAATCTTAGGGGGTACGCTTGACCTGCCTTGACTGTAATTGGTAACAGAACTTCGTTTCGTCCAATTCTGTGTGTAATCATACTCGTGATTAAACGGCAAATCGTACTCCCGCCAAGCGGTCGTCCGATTTCACGCGTTCTGTCCAAATTATGATTCTTATTACAATTTGGACAAAACGCTCGTGACGTCACCATTCATTCGTCACTATTTGATTACATATACCAAGTAGGAAAAACGTCCACTTTATTTCACAGTTTTAAGCGGGATCAATAGGCCATTTTATCGATGCCCACACTTTATTTTGACTACAACTACCAGTATTCACTTTGTTTTTGCTTTCCAGTTCCTGTGTTTAAATTTGTCAATGCGGCTGAGGTTTGATAAGGAAAAGCCTTAACTTGTACAAGAATAGAACGAACTGAAGGATTCTGGTAGTTGTAGTAAAATGACGTCATTAGAGAGATTGAGATTCACGTTTACCGCAAACGGCAAACGTCAGACTCAAGTTGAGAATGTCACGTCTCAGAATAGAAAATAAGCAGATAAAAACAGTCCCTATCGTTTCCTATGGTTAAAGTTGGCGTAAAACAACTTATTTTTGTGTAGAAACAATACAGAGTAAACGGAAAATAAGGGGAAAACTTGGTCACGTGGAACAAATTCACGTCTGCCGTTTGGCGTAAACGTGAATCTTAATCTCTCCATTATCAATTGCTGTCTTATCTCACTCAGTGGGATAATTATTTTAAGGCCTCAGGATCATTCGTGGCATTGTAGAGTTCTGTTTGGTGAGCAGCCGATTATGACAGGTTTAGACCTACACCTGGACCTTCACAAAATACTTTTTCAACGTTAAAGGAATATTCAGGGGGAATAACAATTAAATAGCAATTCCAGTAAAGGATACTGTCAATCCCTTATCACACCACGTATTGGCTTCATCAAACTTTTTCAGCTGAATGCAGGCACTTGCCACTGTTAAGGCATACAGCAAAGATGTCAGCTTGAAACATTTTTTAAAGGCTTAATTTTTAAATGGACACAACTATTGTGAATTGTAATCGTAGAGTAAAGCTCATTCAACACATTTGAAACTGAAGATGACTGTTTAAAAAATTTGGAAGGATAACTACGGTTATCCACAATAACTGTTGATGGTAACTGTTGATCGAGGAGGTAGACAGTTATGTATATCTAGGAAAGACGGTGACGCGAGACCATGATCTGCTTCCTGAGATTAGGAAGAGGATCGCACTTGGTTGGGAAGCCTTTCGTAAAGTGGATAACATCACGAGAAGCCGCAAGGCAGGCATGAAGATAAAGAGGAAGATACACGAAGAGTACATTCTACCAGTAATGACATATGGCTGCGAGACACGGGCACTGAACAACGCTATATGATGGAAAAGCTTGCGGTTGCACAGTGCAAGATGCTAGGCATTACCCTTCGAGATCGAAAGCGAAACACTTGGATTCGACAAGAAACTGGTGTAAGTGATATCATCAACGCTATCAGGAACGCAAAGCATAGATGGGCAGGTCACATCGCACGGTTAATCTGATACCCGTTAGACCATCAAAGCAACAGAGTGGAGCCCAAGAGATTGGACCAGAAACAGGGTCGTCAAAAACACGATGGAGAGACGATCTCACCAGACAGTTTGGACTCGTATGGTCAAGATTAGCCAAACACAGACACCTGTGGGATCAATCCAGGGAGGGGTTCCTCTGTCAAGAGTGAATCCAACCCTGATGATGACGACGATGATGATGATGATGAACTACAGTTGATCCTCTCTAAGCCAGCCACCTTAGGGGCAGAAGAAAGTGGCTATTGTAGAGAGGTTTAAACAAAAAAGAGTCAATGAATGGATTCTCCGCCAAAACAGTGGCCGTTGTGGAGAGGTGACCATTCGTGGAGGTTTGACTATAATTAAGGAAAGCAAAAAGGTGAGGATAGAAAGAATGCACTACCCTTACTGAGAATGACGATCGAAATAAACAAGACGTAAAGAGTATGGCGGGTCGGAGCTCTCGGCGCGTGGGCAGAATTACTGCAAACTGTCACCAGGCCCAAAAAGCTGACAAAGTGTCGTCTCCAGTTTGCTGGTCATTCCATCCCATGTAAGGGAATCCCAGGCAGTCTGGGATTCTGGATTCCGTGCCCTGGATAAGATAACCTACATGGAGTCAAGGTTTGCTTCAGTCCTTTTCTCGACCGTATCTGTACACAGTAACTTCAAATCTTACCTCGCAAAAAAGCTTTCAAAAAAGTTGGTTGTAATTCAATGGCAATTTTTGCATCACTAACTGTTTCAGAGTAATTTCCTGTGAAAAAAGAAATGCGCAAACAGAATTGTAACAGCTTAGAAAGCTATAGAGGGGAGGGGTGGCTCTAGAACTACTTTAACAACGTCTTTAAAACAACTAAGAAAATCCTTTGCAAGTTGCTGCCTACATCACTTTCATTAGACAAAAGATAAGGTATTTAAAACAATTAATATAAAGCAACTTCTTACCCAAGTTAAAGTGTGCCGCTGCCCTGTTGCTGTACAGTTTCGCGTTAAGATCTTCATCCTTGCAGTTCACTTTGATTCCTTCAGTGTAGAAGAAAATGGCGCTGTTGAAATTGTTCTTGTTGTATTCATCGTTACCCTCATTCTTGTAAACCTCTGCAATTGCTACAACAAAGGAAATGGTAATAACTTTAGGCAAACTTTTAAAATAAAAGTTGCGTCGTCAGTAAATTTTTTTGTGCTCTACTTCCAAATGTTTCAGTGTTGTCGTAATAACAACCTTTCTGGTTTCAATTTCTTAAAGTAATTCCCTTGAAAATGATTTACTATCAAGATATTTTTCAAACTTGGCACAAATCTCAGCCACATATTGGACATTCGAAACCTGCAATAAAAAGATAGGGTAATTCTGAGTGTTTTTCCCTAGTTGCGCACCAGGCGTTCGAAACTTAAACAACCGTGATAAATTCTTATTTTATAGGAAAACCTATGAATCTTTCTAAAACCTTAACCTGTTTGATGGTCTGGACTATATTTCAATTCAAATTACCAAATTACCCGATCGTGAAAACCTGTAGGAGGGGGACATTGGGGGGTACCCAATACCGCAATACCGTACGAAAAAATGGCAAATACCGAAATACCGCGTCGCAAATCGACTAAATACCGATACCGATACATTTATAATCGGTTCCGCATACTTATGGTTGCTTCCATCTATCGCGTTTAATTATTTCAGGCATTTATGCACAAAGATGTCCATGTTTTTTTTTAATATTTTGGTAGTTCGCAAATTTTTCGAAAATTTTCACTGAAAAGTAAACTTCATTCGTTCAACCTTTTGGTAGGAGTATACAAAACGAGAAGTATACAGTGAGGCGTGATCCCTAATACAGTCCTAATAGTGAATAACAATTCTCTTACCTTAAAACAGTTTTCTAAAGGGCATTTGCATGATGGCGTCATTACTACTACAACCGGTTTAGACTGTTCACAGTTCCCTACTTTTTCGTGAGACCGTCGGGATGCAATATGGCCGCCAGTAACGCAAAGCGCTCGATCTCGATGGTCTTACGGAAAAATAGGGGACTGTGAACCGTGTACAACTACTACTACTACTTGAATACATTTAGTTTTCCCTTTCATATTAAATTTGTTAATTTCAAAGCGTTATATAACAAATTTAACGCTCTAACTTGCACAAAACAGGAAAATCGTAAAGGATTCTGGTAGTAGTGGTAGTGGTAGTCAAAACACGTCATCACGCATATCCCCCAATTTCCGGTCAAGTGTAGGCCAGTCTATCCGTAGCAGCATCGGACAAATGCAACCGTCTTTCAGTACAATAAACGGTTATTAAATCGAATAACTCTGCCAAATCGAGATCGTGCACCAAGGAGGAAGTTTGCTGCGCTTCCGATTTCCCCTTGAAGAGTTCCTTGAAGAACTAGCGCACTTTCATCAGTAGTTTCCTCAATTTCCTCATCACTGCTAGGATCGAACTCATCCACCAATTCCTCATCTGCTGTATCATCTTCTGCTATTTGGTCATCCACTGTTTCGGTGGCCTTGGCACCTGCATGTTGCGCAGAAGTGATGGTGACCGGGTTGTCTAATGCGACACACTCTCTCTGGTACATGAATTCTGGTAGAGTACCATGCTTCGCCATTTTGTTTCTTGGCGCACTGTCCATTGTCGCACAGCAGCCCCATAAGAGGAGGCTCAGTTTCGTAGAATTTCGCAGTCTGCGATAAATCAACGACAGGTAAGGGTTTAGACAATTCTGTTTATAGGGTCTTATAGGTCGATCCAACAGCTAATTAACTCGTATGGAAATAACTCTTGAAAGCTTGAAAACAAAAACAAAAAACCAACCAACCAAAACCCTTTCCACGCACGTCTAGTGCGAGTTTTGAGTCATCTATCTCGACTATCTGACCTATTTCACACGCCGCACCGGTAAGAACTAAAGAAGCAAACTTACCAAATCCTCTCCTTTAACTTTACAAGCCGTTTTTCTGTACTTGAAACCCGGCATCGAAACTTATTTTTCTTGCGATAATTTTCCCCTCCTTTGCCTTCTTCGTAAAAAATTGCAACGCAGTCAATGATGACTTCGCCGTCTTGACCGTCTTGAACCAAAGCGGCCTCAGCCATCGTGAGAAAACGTGTAAGACCTCGAATTACCGGCACACGTGCCTGGTAAGGTACCTTGAGACAACTCATTGTGATTGGATGCAACAACAATCTCATTGTATCTTGACCTATTATTATCGACCGTTAACTGTCACAAAATGACCCACAAATGGTGTAATCATTTACCATTATGTCTAAAGACTTTTAAATATTAACTTTTCTTGACCTTTATGTCTTACTGTGTTTTGTTTCGCGTATTGTATCGAAAGGAAAGCGCAAACAACCGTACCGCAATACCGTAAACAATCATATTTCACCGAATACCGTCAGCCAAAATGATGAAATACCGCATACCGCAAGGCTAGACGATACCGCAATACCGCACGTTAAAATTAAAATTACCGAAATACCGCATGAAAAAAAGCCCAATACCGCAATACCGTAAACCCCCATGTCCCCCTCCTGTAGAGAAATGGACTGTTAAATCATTATCTCTTACCTCGCTGTGGCTCTAAATGCGGAAATCCGCGTCATTTATATCTAAAAAAACACAAATTCTACTATCCAGGTTTTTTTCTCCTTAATACATATTTTTTTGTGTGGCCATAACGAGTAAAAAACACAAATAAAAAAGGAGGATCACCGTTCTCGTTTCATGGCAAAACGACGACAAAGGATAATTTTTGCTTTAAATAATTATTTTGCGCGAGGGGACTGGGGTGAGTTTCAAGACAAACACCTTTTCAGCCGTGTAGAGTAATCAAAATCGCGATAAAAAGCATTAGGAGTACATAAGGGGCCATTGTTACCTCTTTTTAGACCTTTTTAAGTGACTGGTGAAAATCAGTGTCACCTTTAAAGTGGCAAAGTTATGCGCACTAGGTGATGCGCAGTGCAAAACAAGGGTAGCAATACTCCTAGGCATGCTTTATGCTTTATGCTTTCTCCGGCCGTATGAGCCTTTGGCTTTTATGCGCCTTGCACCATTTTTTATGCCCACCTCTTAAATTGTCATCACCAAATTGAAGAGAACCTTCAGCAGCTGATGTCATGTCATCTTCTTTCAGAACTGTGACTGAACTTTTCTTCATGTCAGAATGCTGTTAGTGATGTCATAAGGTCATTGTTATATTTTGCAGTCAATACTCTTTAATATTAACTGGAGCAAATATTTTCAGATAGAAATTTTGCACAGTGGCATTCCTTCATGCCAAATACAAATAGCTCATCTGCATGACAGAATGGCCACCTAAAGTACTGTCACCGAAGTTATTTTTTAAAAGGAACTGGAAATAAGGATAATAAGGTCTTAACTCTAATATCAATTTCGACCCAAGCATAATTAAAGTCCTATTTGTTATCGCAGTTTGACCCAAGTATATAAATTATGTTGTCAGGGATAAGCTTTGGACCATAGCATGTGTAAGTTATTTACAGCTGTACATTGTAAGAACAATTCATAAACACAGTATTACACTGCATCTGGATACAACGATAGGGGACATCACCACACCAAGCTTCTGATGCTACCTAACTTTAGCCTGTTCCAGGCATTCAGATAGTAGAACATGGCGTTCAGATGGTGGGGAGTATGCGATGGTTGTATGCGGGGAATAAGAGGGCGGGCGGTAGGGTCGGACGAGGGGAGACTGGGGTGACACCCTTTTCCCCTCCTCAGACTACCTGGAGCCTGGTCCCATACTACACGCTTTAGGGTTCATGGAATAAAAGCAATTTCACGTGGTATAAACCTCTTAAAATACAACAGCCACCTCCCCACAATAGGCCTTTTGCAGCTAGCTATTCACGCGGTATAAATGGCCATGATGGAGAGCAAAAGTCACACTGGGACAAGACAAACAAAGGAAATTACCATTTAAAGTTATGTATCTTTTCCTGTTTGTCATGTCCCAGGGCGACTTTTGCTCGTTCCACCCCCCCAACCCCCTCTCCCCCCGCTAGCTAAGGCTCTGGCATGGCTAGCTGCCAAGGGCCTATGGCCACTCTTTTATGTTCTGTTGCTCGAGATTACTTCACTACTCTTTGATAGCAACGTGCTTACAGTGGCATAAGCGACTCATTCAATCATTTCAATCAGGGCAGCATTCCATGCCATTAAATCCACGCCTTGAAATGTATTGGTTTAATAGCAAGGTTTTTTATGCTTACTAAACACAATTCAAGAGATCATTTTAATCATGCTAATTTATAACAGCTTTCCCATAGAAGTAAACTACTCTTGTACCAAGTTTCGAGTTTCAACACCAAACCAATTTCGCTAAAATAAAATGTTACCTTGCAATCATCCAAACTTTTAGGAGAAAATAGTAACACGAAAATGACCTAACTTGACACTGCGGTTATAATCATGTCACTGACCTTCTCGGAAGAAGATTTCGGAACTACACTTTTCTGCTCAAAGAGAAACCACCCTGTTCTGAAGCTTCAATATTCAGGAAAACCAGCTTAATAACCTCACGCTTGGCTATGAACAGCGCCATTTTCAACATCTCCAAGGCGGAAGTAGCGACTTTTCTTTCAGTGACGTCACGATGTCACATCGGTAGAGACGTCCTGTGTGGGTTTACATAATGTGGACAGTGAGAAGTAAGGCAAAATGGCGGACGGTGTTGATGTGGTTGTAACGGTTTGCGCTACTGTTTCGACAGGTTTAGAATCTGTTGCTGTCTCGGAATGCAGACAAAAACTAGATTGTAAATCTATAAGGGAGGGAAGAGGCCGTGTATACTTTGATATCCCGACAAATTTTTTTTCTCAGCTAAAAAACCTTCGCTCTATTGAGAACTTGTTTGTTGTCGTAAAAGAATACGAAGAAAACAACGATGAACTCGATTGCTTCAGCCCAGAGATTCTCGAGAAACTGTACAAATTACCTCAAGCACTGGATTGGAAGGTGGCGCTTTCTCTATGGAAGCAGTTTACAGGGTATACGGGAATGCTTTTCAGAAGTGAGACGTCTGCGCATGCTGAAGATATGAAAAAGAGATGCCAGTCGTCTGTAGACAATAAGTGCTCTGAAGTTAAAGATGAGCAAAATTCACGAGAAGGTGGTAATGATAAAGTTGTTGATGAAGAAGACGTTATAGAAGCTCCTGCGAAAAAGATAAAACATGGCGGAGAAGATTCAAATGAGGATAAGTCTGAAGTACGAAATGGCAGTGAGAATAATGTTTTGTAAACCACGTGGCAAGGTTGCCATATTAGTTGGTTGTTAAGGCGATACAAGTTTTT